CCTTGTCAACGGGAGTGTCGTAGATTACGCATTTTATGAAAAATCAAAATGGTGATTTCAGGCGTCGACTTGTCTTGAAAAAGTTTTAGTTCGTCCAAATCTATTAAGTGGGATATCAAAATGCACTGCATAATACCATGTTCCTTCGTAAACTTGTTTCTATCTTTTTAGTTCGCTTTTTTACGCTGAATATACACATAAATGCGCTCAAATAAAGTTGGCCACTTGAAGTGCAGGTAATAAGTATACTAACTAAGTATAGTCACTAAGTTAGTAACTTGCATATAGGTCCCAAATAGTTGCCTATGTATTTCGGCAAAACATATCTGTGTACTAAATACCTAAATCCGTTTAGCCGTTTAAGCGTGTAGGAAAACTTTCTCATATATAATAAATAGTAGTCCAATGGTCCGATATAGCCTCAAAATTTTTATAATAAATATAAAATATATTTCATACACCTGCGACTAACTTGACATATAAGATTTGCGCGAAATATTTAGTATACAGTTACTTTTTATTTGTTCAATGATCCGGGAGTTATATAGCTTTAATATTAATATATTTTCGAAAACTTCTCATTTTGGATATAAATTATATAGATACAACGGTTCAGTTTTACATATAATTATTTTTCTAACACGCGTAAACTAAAATAAATTTAAATATATCAATAATACAAAGTTTGAATAAAAATATTATATTAAAATTGCCAATAACTTTAAATCTTTCGATAGTTTATAAAACGAGTTTATAATTTGGAGACAAAATTAAACTTTTCGTATGTAATTAAAGACAAGCTTTATTTTTATTGTATGAATTTAAATAGTATCGTATATTATTTCATATTTTCAACCGACTTCCTCAAAAAGGAAGAGGTTCTCAATTCGGCTGTATGTTTTTTTATGTTTGTTACCTCAGAACTCCGTCATTTATTAACCGATTTGGACAACTTTTGTTTTGTTTGAAAGAGTATACTTCCAGATTGGTCCCATTTAAATTTCAAAAAAAAATACCACCCCTAAGGGTGGAAAAATAGCTAATAATGAATTTAACCTACTTCTCATTGTCATATTGACTTCAAACTTTGCAAGTGTTTCTATTTCCGTTAATAGTGCAGTGGTTCGGTATAGTTAACGTGATCTGATGGTAAGGCCAGAAGGTAGATAGGTGGAACTCTTCAACGCCTAATAGTAGATACTTTGAGTTTGGGCTTATTTTGTTTGATTTGACAAGCCTAATACTTCAGAATCGGATTTTAGAGCCAGAATTTTTAGTGTTACTAATAAAAGCGAATTTTACTTTGTAAGTCTTCGTATAAAAATTGGCATCAAAGTAATTTCAACGGTTCAAGCGAATATTTTATTAAAATACTTTCTTCTTACTTTGCTACTACTGTCTACACTAAAAAGGAAAAATAAAAACTTTTTAACAAAAAAATAAAACCGACTTCAAAGAAAAGCACTAAAAAGTAAAAAATAACTGATTGGTAGTTTTCATTTACTATACATACCTAATCAAATATTTTCGAAGTCGGTGCCAGCCTATACAAAGCAAAGCACACGTCGAAGTGTTGTGAATGAAGTCGGTTTTTATGTTTTTGTTAAAAAGTTTTTTGATGATTAGATTTCCCTACTATCTGTTTTTGTAATAACAGCACCTTACAGTATTTACTTACTATTACGATTACACGTACTTTACACTTATAGAGACTGTTCTATTTACATACATACAATAAATCCTATGGATATTTCCATCTATAGTTTTACTTATTGATAAATCCATACTAATATTATAAATGTGAAAGTGTGTTTGTTTGTCTTTCTTTCGCATTGTAACACAGTGACGGATTGCCGTGATTTTTTGTGTAAAGATAGTTGGAGGGCTGGAGAGCGACATAGGTTACTTTTTATCGCGGGAGATTATTTTATTCCCACGGGAAAACACGTTATAATACAAACCAAAAAATTATTTGTGATCAGAATTACTTAAAACTTGGTATTATTATACTCTTTAGTACAAATTAACGACTATGTGCTTTAGCATTTTTCGAAATTCATCCTATAAGGGGGTAAAATAGAGTAAGTATAAAAGTTTTTATGAAACCTCCCTTTCGAGAGATATTTTTGTAGTTTAGCGCGAGCGAAACCGCGGGTTCTGCTACAACTAATTTTGTTCTGGTATAAGTACTACTTACTCACTGAATAGAGGCTTCATGGTCGTAAACGACGTCACTAAGCATTTCTTAGACTAAAAATATATGGCACAGGGCACCTGTATTAGGTAAAACATTCATTAGCTAATAAAATTTATTTTGAGACACCTAAATATAGAAATTCTTGTATAGTAACAGATTTTTATGGGCGTAACTTTTGCCACACACCTAACTTTTGCCCATAGAGAAAAATCCTATATCTTTAAACGAGCAATTCTTATATATATAATCTGAATCTCGGAAACGGCTCCAACGATTTTCATGAAATTTAGTAAATAGGGGGTTTCGGTGGCGATAAGTCTTATGTCTGAGAAAACGCATGTTTTCGTTTCGAGTTTTCGTACAGTTTTCTTTTGCATTATTCCACGCAAAATATGGACATAAGCATCATGGTCAAGCGGCCAAGGTGCAAGATCAACAATCACAGGTGTCCAAGTTCGAATCTCGGTCGCATACAAAGTTTTTACTTTTGTTTTTTTAATATTTATTCAAGTTTTAAGTTTAAAAAAAAAAGAAAATCGTACTTTAGGCCAAAAACTCCGAGCGAAGCTCGGTAACCCAGAACCTATACATTTACTTACGCAAGCTATAGAAATCTAGAAAAGATTTTTAATAAGCAATAAATTAAAAAATATTAGTAAATAATAGTTATGTTTTTACTTCGAAACAAACTCAATATAAGAATTCTCATACTACGATGAATTTATTTCTTTTATTTTATTTTTAAAAGTTCCAATTTTGAAATATTACCTACTTTTTAAATTTTACTTTATTTGATTTCAAAGTTATAAGTTATAGTAATAAACATTTTTTTTTCTTCAGCATAAAGCCTTCTCCATCCATTCCATCCACAGAATGCCAACCATCCCGTTCTTGGGTAGCCCGCATCACAGCACCTGCTACCACTTTTTTTAAGTCGTCGGTACACCTTGCTGCGAGCGTCACACTACGTTTGCCTAAGCGTGGTCTCTACTCTAACATGTCGGCTCCATCGGTCATCAATACGCCTGCAGACATCTTCCTCCAAAATTCGTGCAAATTCTGCGCGCGATGTCGGTGACTTTAGTTCTCTGGCGAATGTCCCCATTTCGGATTCTATCTGTTAGAGAAACCCCGAGTATTGCGCGCTCCATTGCTTGCTGAGCGACCTTAAATTTTTGAATCAGTCCAACGGTGATAAACAAAATATGATAGGTACATTAAATACGATATAATTTACGGTAGATTAATTTACACTGTTATTATATATTTAATAACGATATAAGACAAAATGTGAAATGCCAAATTAAGTAGAAAATGCCGGAGTAACAAGCATTCCCCAAGTATGGGTAAAAATGAAACTCTCAGACCTCAGGTTTATTTTGTTATTATTAACCCTGGCCACCGGGTGAATGGTGGACTATGGTTTTGAAGGGAGGCCCGTGCCCAGCAGTGGGACGTTAAAAAGGGCTGAATACAATACTACTGTTATAAAAGCACAAAATTGCATCACAGTGAAACGACAGGAGAGATATGGATGAAATTTAAAAAATAAATAAATAAAATATTTTTTAGAATTTTTTTCAAAATAGTCATTATTATCGATACAAAGGCCAAACCTATAGTTTTTAGAATTTTGGTCTGTCTGTCTGTCTAGTTACCGGGTCAACATATAGGATACTTTTTTCCGCGGAAAAATATTTCATCTCTGAGAAATCTGTAGTAGCTAAATGTTAAAACGGAACGATTGACGAACCCGAGGCTCCGAGCGGAGAGCGGAGCGAGGATGAGTCGCTAGTATATTATGAAATATTAAAGAATAAAGTTCAATGCAAAATCAACATATTAATTTAATACCTAATTAATTTATGTTTACGGTATGATATAGTAATTCGTCTTGTAAACTTTTTTGTCATGGCCGAAATAGCTCAGTTGGGAGAGCGTTAGACTGAAGATCTAAAGGTCCCTGGTTCAATCCCGGGTTTCGGCAAATTACATTTTTTGTATGGTACATATAAAACATAAAATATTAATAACTTAAATAAAATACTGTTTTTGGATAAATATTTGAAACACTACCTTTTTCAAAATTTTACGACGAAATACGAAATAAGTAACTACTCGATATTCTTATCTTTAAAATTGTAGGTATTCGGTATTGCTATCAATAATTTCAGGAAAGAAAAATATAATTTACTGGTATCATGACATACCTATTTTGAGAATTAAGTAAGAAAAATCGTACCTGCAGTTGTAGATTTAGGCTCGTTGCCCCCTAGGCCCAGTGTGATTTTGTGCCTTTTTTGTGACATGAAGAAGTGAACATTAAAATTAAACGTCTAATTTTCAAAGGTTTAGATTACTATTTGCTTGAATTTTATTAATTCAAAGTACCTGGGTCACCGAGCTTCGCTCGCAGTTCATATTAATAAATACAAAAAAAAACAAATAAATTATACTTTTATATCCGACCGGGATCCGAACCTAGAAGAAGATATCATTGTCTTTTTGAAAAATAATCTTAAAGATAAAATTTCAATTAAATTAAATATCCCAGCATCACATTTTAATAAGAATTTAATGGATGGCTTACAAATGTTTTTTTAATCTGTGGATTTTTTGAACAACTGAAGTACAAACTTTATGGGGCTGTAGCCTGTAAGCCTGATAGCTTCTATTTCCAGAAGATGGCGATACATAATTTTTAAACGTCAAACTTCAAAGTCAGTGTATATATTATAAATAATTTGACTCGTGAGTTTTTAGTGTTGCTTAATATACTTACAGAGTAAAATTTACCGTAATAATGGCCGGTTTTACTGAGAATGCTTTAGTAAGAAAGTTACAAGAACTAAATTCAAGTCAACAAAGTATACAAACATTATCACTGTGGCTTATACATCATAGAAAACACCATGCCGCTATCGTAAAAACATGGTATAAAGAGCTTTTGAAAGGTAATTACTGTAGTAATATTACTTTTCGTATATTTGGTGATCTTCTAAAGTCTATATTTATAATGTGAAAATAATTTTCTTATTGGCCAAATAATATTAAAATTTAAATGTCATATTTTTTTAGTGCATGATATATATTTATTATTACGAAGTACACTTTAACAACGTAAAGTTATTTAATATTTAGTCAGTAAAATATTTAAAATTCTAGATTGTTTTGATGTAACATAACCTAAAAGTTATTTTGTTCATTTATAGCAAAAGATAGCAAACAGTTAACTTTCATGTACTTGGCGAATGATGTAATACAAAACAGTAAGAAGAAAGGTCCTGAATATGGAAAGGAATTTGGCAATGTTCTTGTGGATGCATTTAAACATATGGCCAAAACTGGAATTAATGCAAAAACCAAACATTCACTACATAGAATACTGAATATCTGGGAGGAAAGAGGTGTATATGAACCTCAGAAAATTCAAGACTATAAAGTAGCTGGTAGGTTATCAATTCCAAGTAATATTTATTATATTTGATATGTCCATATTGTATTCTTGTAGTATTAATACATATTATTGACTGTATTTTAGTTGATCCAAATGATGCAGAACCAAACAATGTAAGTAAAAGAAAAGTGTCTGATCCTGAAATAAAAGAATCTTCTAGAAGAAACTTATTTAACTTTTTTCATTGTTTTCATTTTGTATAATAGTTTTATTATTAACATAATAAAATCATGCTCTTGACCAGTAGTAATGAACTTCTTATAGGTAACTCAAAACTTGTAGGATTTACTGTACATTTTGTTTCATTGTGATTTCATCATCAGCTCATCTAAGTAATGTTAAATTTATTATAATGTCAGCCAGATTTCACATAATTACAGTAGGTTAAAATCATCTTCCAAGGTATGATTACATAAGCAGTTTGATTACATACTCGGTGAAGCAATAACAATCTTAATTTAATGTTAGCCTATTGATTTCTTTATAGCTTTTCTTTCAAAGTAGACACTATTTTTCACTTTTTTTTTTGGATTTTGATTAAATTTGGTATGATGGTAGCTGGTTATCCGGGTTAACATATAGGATACTTTTTACATGGGAAAAATATCTCATTTCTGAGAAAAAATACAAAAACTGTAATTCAAGAGTATACTAATATGTAAAACTTAAGAATTTGGGTTTTGGTCATCTGAACGCGGGCAGAGCCGTGAGCAATGCTAGTAGGGTATATGTTGCTAATCTTGATATTGGTGTCAACTTATACATCTTTACAAGTACTGAACATATCCCCACTTTGAATATGTAGCAGGATAATATGTGGAGATTGAGGTGTATTTTTAAATTATTAACAGAAGCTGTATCGAAAGATCTGTTTTCATGAAATTACATGTTACATTATAAGTTTTCTAAATTACTGTTTCATTGCTCCCAATTGCCCATTCTCTTTACAGGTATTTGGAAAAAAAATCATCAATTTTAATTCAAAAAAGAGTTGATTACTCCCATATTGTTTCATACTTATTATTTGTACATAACAGAGACGAATTTATAAAATAGACCATTTTAATTTTTTCAATTAGATTTCTTTAACATTAGGCATAAAGTAAATTTACAAATTCTCCTTTTCTTGTGTTGTAGTTAACCTTACTGTTGTATTTTTTTTTTAGTTAAAAAATTAAATACCCTATAAGTTTTGCAAGGATCTAAATCACTTTATGATTTTATTAATAATTTTCTATATAATTCCAGGCATTGCTGGAGCTGGAATCAAGTGCTTCAAGTGATGAAGCAGTGAGAGAGAGAATTGCATCATTACCGCCAGAAGTGTCTGAAGTGCAATTATTGTCTAAGTTAGAAGGTAAATGTCGTGTAAAAATGATATACATTTATTGTATACTTATTTACAGGAAAATTGTTATATTTATAAAAATAAATATTAATCCAACCTTATTGTTTCATTTTGAATAAAAAATATCATACCTTGTTTTTATCCTATGTCAATTTCTTTTTCCATTGACTCTCGATGGTATCATCTTGAAGTATATAAAGTTGTTGTCATTGATACATACATTTACAATTTTGTTTAGTTTCTTAAAAAGAAGTTTAAAAAATTTAATAGTTTTTATTCATAAAATTTGAAATTATTATTAACAATTGTCAATCAATTATGATTTTTTTCATGTTTTATTTATTTTTGCCTTGTAATATTTATTCGAATTAACTACCTGTTTGTTACTTTTATTTTAAACTTGATTATAATTAATGGAAATAGATGGTTATTAAATGTTTTTTTTAACTAAAACTATTTTATTACACATTCTAAATATTGTTTAAAAATAATAACTTTCATTATTAACAATATTATAGATCTAGTCATTTTTTGGTTATAGATAAGGAATCAGCTGAAAGTCTAAGTGCTGTAGTAAATTCTGCAGTGGAGTTATTAGCTGAATATAACTTAAGATTGTCCGAAGAATTGGAGAAGCGAAGAAAAGTAGCGGCCATGTTGAGAGACTTTGAACAAGCTCAAAGAGAGCTCGCTAAGAAGGCTGAAGCTAAACTTGAGGTAAAATAATACATAAAATATATAACAAACAAGCGGCTAGCTAGCTTCCCAATACCTTTCTTCCCCACTTCTAAACTTTCCTCTCCATTTTCACCCCCTTAAGGGATGACTTCCGGGATAAAAAGTATCCTTCTTACCAAATTTTATCTAAATCAGTTCAGTAGATCCAGAGATTATCCCCTACAATGTCACAAACTCACAAACTTACCTCCTTATAATAATTATATATTAATATTAGTATAGATTACCTTTTATTGAAATGTTTCTAAATTGGTAAAAAAATATGCCTATAATATGTCCTACTAATTATAAGCTCGAAAGCTTGTGAGAAACGTGAGATTATTTTTGCACTCAAAAACTACTGGACGGATTTTGATCAAACTTCACCCTAATAAATCAGAAAATTAAAACAAAAGATGGGTGTCAATAAGATAGGTATATTTTCCCCCGAAAAATTTTGGGTTTTTATTTGTGTATATATTAACTAAGGGTAATTTGTATTTAAGATAAAAACCAAATAAAGTGAAATAGTTTTATTATGTATATGATAAAGAAATAATTAAGTTTAACAAGGAAATTAAGTAATAAGTTAGCAAAATCAGTTAGATTATCATTAATTGTGAAAATAGTAAAAATTATTAATATGAGTTTTCGCTATTATTTTATTCGACCACTCTGACGTGTCTAGGAAGTACCTAGTCACTTTATGTCACCTTTTTAGATGAACTTTCAAGCATCTGTTATATCCTAAATACCAGAGAACTGCAGCTACATGCGTACAACAGCACACCACTTGTGCACCTACTTTACCTACACTGGCAGTGCCACCCACACACTGATGGGAAAAAAGCAGTAATTATTATATTTAATCTATTAAATAATCAATAATTGAACACGGATTATATCATTGCGAATCGCGATCGAGAATTACCGCTTACGTACCTATATGATGTACACTACACCAACACTAATATATTTATACTAGAGATATAGTATGTTATACTTAAGAGCCATATATGCCATTGCGGCCTTTTGTGTACACCTTTTTATGATACATAATTCTACCATATATTATTTTGTTATATCTCAAAAGGTTTAAGGCTTAGGCAGCGTTTTCGTTGAAAGCTTGCATACGACTTATTTTTTTCTGAAACCTCCAACAAATATCGTTATATTCTAGCGAATGTGTACAAAAACTTAACAAATTATATACTAGAACCTTCCTCGAGAACCACTCGATCCATTAGTGAAAACAGCATGAAAATCGGTGCAGTAGTTTTTGAGTTTGGCGCGAACAGACAGACCAACGCGACGGAGGACTTTGTTTTATAGTATATAGTGATATACATATTATTGTTTACACATAATTCGTTGGCTCACTATTACAAGGTTCTATGTTACAATTTTAGTACTTATTTGGTAATATTAATGCTACAAGGTTCTATGTGTCATTAGCTACAGTTTTGCAAAAACAAACTACTAGATAGCGGCACTATAACTACAAAATATTTAATTTTACATAGTTCTATGTTGTTTTTTTTTCGATAGCAAAAGAACGAAGTTCTATGTAAAAATTACTAAACTTCATTAAAATTAACATAGAACCTTCTAATAGTAAGCCAACGAATTATACTATGTCATTATATATGTAAAGGACGAAGTATTGGGAGGTTGTGCTAGTGTAAAAAAATAAAAATAATGTTGAGTTTAAGAACAAAATCTCTATTCCAAACTATAAATGAAAACGAAAATAATTATGAAATGTAATAAATATTGTCTAAAACGCGCACAGTATAAAGTCTAATATAAAAATAATAATAATAGGGTTCTGTGATATTATTTAATTTTCTGTGATTTATAGGGGAAATTACTTATATTATTGACACCCATCCTTTACCTATAAGGCTATACTAATATTATAAAGAAGTAAAGTTTGTGAGATTGTGAGTTTGTGACGTTGTAGTGAGTAATCTCTGGATCTACTGAACTGATTTAGATGAAATTTGGTACGAAGATAGTTTGAGACTTTTTATCCCGGAAATCATCCCTTAAATGGATGAGTCGCTAGTAAAAAATATAGTAATGCATGAATAAAATATCTCATTTATATTGGACAAAAATCAATATAATTTACAGGAATACAACATAAAACTACAAAAAGTATACGAAGTGAAGGCAGAAGTGAAGTCCCATATAGAGAACTTGCCGGACGTGTCCCGACTACCAGATGTCACCGGCGGCCTTGCGCCTCTGCCCTCTGCCGGGGACCTGTTCAGTCTATGAAAATTGCTTATTGACGTATTGGTGTTTCTTATTATATATGGATGGTGTTATTCATGACATTCACTTGGCAAGAAAAAATTTGGCAAAAGAAAATTCGAGAAAATTCACAGTAGTGATTAGGCAGGATAGTTGTCATGTATTGGGGAGTCGAATGCAATATCTTTGCTATACAATTGTTGAGGTGATTTAGTACTTTGGTTTTGTTATGCGTGTTTCTATTTTTTCTGTATGTACGATGAAAGATATATGTACAGGGGGAAGTCCGTTGTGTATACCCATGAAGACATTTGCCATCTGTCGAGAACCTGATCAGGTAGTAAATATGGATGGTGTTATTCATAACATTAATTTGTTAGTTGAGTTTTAAATGTTTTCGTCTACGTAAATACTATGTACGTTTGGATATAGTGAACTTTGGGATGTAATGAATGTTAAACTTTTTAACATTTAAAATATTATTTTTAATATTTCCAAATTCTTTTGCATAAAGTCATCCACATATGGACTAAATATTATGATAAAAAATACGTTTGTGTGTACTTACATATGTATGTACGTGAGAAGTTATACTTCTTTGGCGTAACAGAACAAAAATATGTAGCCAAAGATTTCATCCCGTATGTCGCAACTCTCTGTTTGTAAAAGGAATGTAGCTAATTTCATCATGTCGTTTTTTGGCTGTCGGTGTGCGCGCGCATCGTAAAAATTTTACTCTCATATTTTTTCAAATCGTGCCAAAAGAAGAATAACTTCAAAAAATAAGTTTATAAACCATCAATTAAATTCAAGAAATAGAATTTGAATTATTCAAGAAATAGAATTTGAATAAAATTGAAAGAAATAGAATTATTCTGCTAGATAAATTCTAATGTATTTTTTTAACAAATTTTGATAGTTGTTAATGGTTATGTATAACGCCATCCAAACCATTGTCATAGTCGCTGTGTTAAGGATGTCGCGTTGTTTTTGAGTATATATACTATATGTATAATTTCTTTGGTTTCTATAATTTTTAAATGAAAATTAATTCATTTTTTTATTTACAATATTTTGATTCTAAATATATAGTGCATTATTTCACCTATAAAGCCAGTAGAACCCAAATAAAAGATCTCTTTGTAGTAATATGGTAGCTCTTATATATATATATATATATATGTAATGTAGAGTTCAAATTAAAAACGACTGGCAATTTTATTCATGTTACAATAAATTAATTTAAGCATACTTCTGCTGCATAAAACCATTAATGTTCAACTTTTGAGAATAGTAAAATTATCAATTTTATGTATTTAAATTTTTGGCGATCCGATAAAAGACCACAAAGTTTGGATAAAAGTAGAATAGCACTGAAAAATCTAAGGATTCCAACAATTATTTTCTTGTACATAGAGAACAAAATATTTTTCTTCAAAAAAATTATAAGTAACTTGTAACAGTATTCAGCCCTTTTTTTAACGTCCTACTGCTGGGCACGGGCCCAAAACTTGGAAATGACATATATATTATGAATTGAAGGAAAAACGTATCTAATTTACATATAGCTAAACACAAACTTATCAAATTTCATAAATTTATAAAAAGAATTTAGTATTGATATTGGTTAGTTCTGTACACATATTATTTGTGATTTATAAAAATATTATTTGACTTCACTGTATTTGTGTTAATATTAGTAATAACTTTTTGATAAATTTAGTTTAAATTGTGTAATTTATTTACTTTTTTTTTCAAAATTCTTCTTTTGGTACCAAAAATATACTATATGAAGCAATAATATTAATAATATATTATAAAAAAAAATATGAAATGCTATAATGGCAATTACGGTTTAGAAAAAATAATGTAAGTTAAACCTTGGTACAAATATCAAGGCTGTACGCCATTATTTTTCACATCTAAATGATTTACGATGATGACCTTGCGTTCTACATCTAATAATAATAAAGAACATCTTAATATATAACCTTGATTGTGCAATCGATTTTTAGGTGTCTTTTAAACAACTAATCTATTAATGGGTGTTTTTGGCCCACAATTCAATTTATTTTCGTACACCTCTCGAGAGATATTTGACGGTTAGTTTGGCACCTACAAAGAATAATATTGTAACTCGATATGTTGATAATTTATATAATACTAGCGGTTCTAGTAAAACAGAAACATCTATCCCAGGGGAACGGTAATTTTTTTTCAGTATAAAAAGTAGCCTATGTGCTATTCCAGACTAGAATCTATCTCTGTGCCAAATTTCACCCAGATCCGTTCAGCCGTTCTGGCGTGATTAAGTTACAAACATCCAAACATTTAAACTTTCACATTTATAATATTAGTAAGATAAGAAATATAAATTAATTTCTCACATATTTAAAGTCCAAATTAAAAACTGGTATAATACTGAGTTGCAATCTTGTTCCTTGCAGGTGATAAAATGCCTCGTTCAAAATACAATTAGGTCATTTATTATATTAGTACTGGCTAAATATTTAAACCTACCAGAATCGTCTGTAATTATCATGTTTAAGTTTAATTTACTTTATGGCAGTTTTATAGTAGATGTAGATTATTTTGTATGGTGATGACGAACCTAAACCGTAATTGTTATTTTGACGTTAGTAAAGGTTAAGCTGTCAGAATAGAAGTGACCTAACTTTAATATTATTATTATAGAAACACTAGCTGTGCCCCGCGGTTTCATCCGCGTTTAATTTTTTTTGATTATAAACATTAATTTTATAATATGTATGGAATTCTGCCCGATTTGTTAAATAAAATTTATGATTAAAGCTCCGCTCCCTTGGGTAGTAGTATGATGAATAGCCTATAGCTTTCCTCAATAAACGGGTTATCTAATGCAAAAAGAATTTTTCTAATCGGATTAATAGTTCCTAAGATTAGGGCGTTCAAACAAACAAACTGCCGCTTTATAATATTAGTATAAATTAGAACATTGGCATAAATGTAAACATTTATAAATAAAATTGAACTAAATGCAAGTATTACATTGGCACATCATTTTCGCAAAAGATAGCGTTATCAGTTAGGCCATTTTTGTTTTGACGATCATTTGTAAGGCTATATGAATGAAAGCAACACTATATAACATACTGGTAGTCAAGTGAATACGAACTCGTTGCCTTATAGCTTACTTTTTCGCTATGTAGATATTACGAAGTGGGTAGACCTACCTATTTATTAGAGTTTTATTGAAACAAACACAAGACTTGATGTATTTTTATTGTTTGAATTTTATATTTCTATTCTTTAACAACGTTTTAATACGCAATACTTAAACATATTTCCCGCAGTATCCAAGCAGTTTTTTTCCGCACAATTTTGTTACAAACAGGGACGGATCTATATATTGACTTTTTGGACTGCAGCCCAGGGCCCCTAAGATATAACGGACCCCCTGTTGAAAGCAATGGATAATATTGTTAATTTATAAAATAAAAAAATTAAGGCCATAAAGAGTTGGTCTAATAACTATGAGATCAATTAAGAACCAAACAACAGCGTTATTTTAATTTCGTCCAGTACTTATCATTATAGTTTTTATAAAGACAAAATGACAATTATTTTAGGCCCCCAAGTGCCCCCAGGGCCCCCAAAATTTACGGTCCGTCCCTGGTGACAATTCAAATGGGTCTATTTTAATTTCGACCTAAGCTAGATGGATGTTGAAATAGAAAAAAAATGAAGCGTTGTTTAAAAATAGATAATAGATATATATTTTTGTGTGAAAATAAGAATTAGTTTCATTTTTGATAAATCTGAGTATGATTTTTCAAATGACCCAAATAGTGTAATTAGTTTGATGTGTATTGTTCTATTATTTTAGCTAAGTACCTAGTGTAAAGTGAATTGTTATCGATTATGTAATAAATTTTGTTATATTAACAGATCTTGCTTTTATTTCGAATACTTAATCGTTTAAAATGTTTTTTATGAATATGTTAGTCTTTTTTTTATGTTATGTCTCATGGCAGTAATTTTTTTTTTTGGTTTCATAAGATTTTTAAAATAATTTTAACGACACGTTTGGGTCAGTTTGTAGTGACCTTACTTGCTGTGCCAGAAGTCGCGGGTTGAATCCCGCTGGGTGCATACATTTGTGTGATGAGCACGAATGCTTGTACTCTAGTCATGGATGTTTATATTTATAAAAAGTATGTATTTAAAGTTATATATGTGTAGTGTATCAACTATCTGGTATCCATAACACGAGCCTCGTAGCTTACCGTGGAACTAGGATGGTTCTTATGTCCCAAGATATTTGTTTTATGATTTATTTATTTAAGTAAAAATGAAAATAAATAATTAAAAGTTAAGATAGCAAAAGAAATATTTTGAAAAAAAAACAAACAGTGGTTTATTATTAGGTAGCTAAATTAGAAAATAATTAAAAAAAGCTTTAAAATTATTTTTATTTAATTCAGATAATGGATATCAGCAACGGTAGTCATATAATTATTTAATTTGTTTTATCTGTGTTATATAATTTCAATATTGACAATGTTATTTTATTTTTGTTATTTGACACAAGTGGAAGAAGATCAAGAATTAAATATTTAAATTAATCATAAAATATTCGTGTATATTATATTTAAAATGAGTGTGAGTTCGGTAAGTACCTACTACGATAATTTATTATTTTCACCTAGATATTTTATATGAATTTAAATTATGAATAATTATTAAATTTCAGAGTAGCCATACGAAGAGCGTACCAGAAACTGTAGATACGGAGTCCACAGAAGAACCTTTGGTAATAGTAATCTCATTTCTTTAAATGTTACATTCCTATCGTAATCATATTTTTATATATTAATATTACCTTATTCTATTTTTTGATGTCTATGATTTTATTATTTAGAAATTCCTCGCAGTTTAATTCTAAAAATTGTCTACAAATCCTTATAATCCTAATAAAAATTTCCAGTACAGAATATACAATAAACATTTTAGTTTAAGAAGAAAAATTCTACGTTTAAATTGCTTTAAATTAGCGAATTTTTAGTATAAAAAGTAATTTAGTTTTTACGTAAATAATGACATTGAAAATTATTAAAAAATGATATCAGATTCAAGACCGTTGGACGAACAATATCAGCTATCGACAGCTGGTGATGTCTTCATGCATCAGTATAGTACAATTCTGGTGGCATCCATATGTACATGATTTTCGAAGACTAGTCCCGTTTCTTTTCCTATACAATGTCTTTAGTGTATTCTTTGCCTATCCATCGTTTTACTTGGAGTTGGCTTTGGGAGTGGTTACGAAGAAAGGAGTACTTAATTGTTGGGATTTGGCTCCTGTGGCAAGGGGTTAGTTATATTTTTATAAAATACTAGCATTGCCCGCTGCTCCGCCCGCGTTATGACCAAAAACCAAATTCTAAGATTTTACATATTGGTATACTCTTACATTGTAGTTTTTATATTTTTTCAGAAAAAAAGTATGCTATATGTTGACCAGGATAACCACCTATCACCATACCACATTTCATCAAAATCTCTCCAGTGGTTTTTCGTATTGCATTCCCAGAGAGACAGACAAAAATCCTAAAAACTATAAATTCGGCCTCTGTATCGATAATAATGTTTATTTCAATCAATTTAAAAAAAAATCTAATGTACAGATTCGACTTAGTTACAATTTTATTATATTTATGGATTTATATTTTGTATAATTCTAAATACCTATGTTTTTCCGTTTCATTATTGGTTACTAATTATTAATTTAAGTTTAAATCTGCTTTTAGAAATAGAAACGGACTGTGCTATAAATAATGTATGATAATTATACACAAATGATTCCCCATTTACTCAATAAAAAAAATTGTGAATATCTTTACACGTAATTACATAGGTGTTTTCCTTCTGCCAATTAAAAATAAATGATTTTTATTACATTCATGGCTAAACAGACACAAGGGCTTAAAACTCGACCACATTTGATTTAACAATACATACAATTTTCCTTTAAGGTGTCGGCATATCGATGCTCTTAACATGCATGTTCACGGTTCTATCGCTGGGTGCGGTCAGTGCCTGGTGTTTAGCTCTGGTAGTCCACTCCATACACTCGTTCCTACCCTGGCTTCATTGTGCCGCGTCCGCACACCCGCCCTGTGCGGCCAGACATAGACCCTTGCCTACGGGAAGTGAAACACCTGCACAGTCGTTCTTTTTGTTAGTATGGGTTCTTTTATTTTATTTTGCTCTTTTTTATATGTTAGATGTTTCCGATCATTCATAAAGGTAGACGTTTAATTATTATGAATTAGTTTATTCAAATAACAGAATGCGAACGTTTAAACGATATGTTCTGAGTTTCCTTCCTTAGGTATTTATTTTTTGGCACTTTCTTTATTAAATCGATGTAGAAATCAAACATAAATTATGATAGCATTTTTGTTAGTTTAATTGATAGTTTGCAATTTTTTTTTAATATACATGAGGTTTTTAATATAAATGACATTACAGTAATTTTGTCTTAAACCTCAAGCGCGATGGCTTACAAGGCGGCTTTGGCAATATAGTCAGCGAGCTGACAGTGTATTACGTTATATCGTGGCTACTAATCTATTTTATTTCCTGCAAGAAAGTGTATAGCTATTCGAAGGTATCTAAAACATTTACTATATAATTTATTTAAATATAATTATGATAAACATTTAAATGCTTGCTTTAACCTTATTATTGTCCAATTACTTTCAAAATTGTAAGGAAACTAGTTCTCATGGTTTTTTTTTCTAATTACTTTCTCATCTGTAGATTCCATAGACAATATTTACGCAGTGTTATTACAAAGGATTAAATTAAATCCATTATTCATATTTGTCTTTACCTGTAATATGGCACAAGTTAGGTAAGGAATCGGCTGATCACTAATTTAATTCACCAAAAAACGACTGTATATTTTGTGATTTCTTCAAAACATTTTGAATTTCACTCATAAATCGTTCTTAATGCCTTGAAAGTAAAATGCGAAAATGTATAGCGTGTCGTGGCTTTTATGATATTCGACAACAATATGTTCCGGGAAGTGTACCACATAGCGTGAGCTCACTACGCGAATTTCGCGTTGCACCTTCATACATAATAATTGTTTTATCTTCTTCTATACATATAATAAAATTGTAACTAAGCCGAATCTGTACATTAGATATTTTTTGGAAAATCTTATTGAAATAGACATTATAATCGATACAGAGGCCGGATCTATAGTTTTTAGAATTTTTGTCTGTCTGTCTGTCTGTCTGTTACCGCATCACAGAAAAACCACTGGAGGGATTTTGATGAAATTTGGTATAGTGATAGCTGGTTATCCGGTTCAACATATAGGATACTTTTTACTGCGGGAATAATCTCATTTTTGAGAAAAAATACAAAAACTGCAATGTAACAGTATACTAATATGTAAAACCTAGGAATTTGGTTTTTGGTAATCTAAACGCGGGCGGAGCCGCGGGCAATGCTAGTCATCTATACATCTATACCAATAAATAAAATTGAAGTGCCTGTTTGTAATATCAAAATAACAGCGTTTTACTAAATACATAATTATGAAAGTGTAAATGGTGCTCATAAGAAAAAAAACCATTTTTTTTTAATTTTTGTCGGTCTGTCTATTCCGGCCAACGGCCACTAAGCCCGAGGGCTGAGTGGTCGTTGATTCCGGCTTATTTTCCAAACGGCTGGAGCGATTTTGACGGAACTTTCACTGGCAGATAGCTAATGTTATAAGGAGTAACTTAGGCGTTTATTTTGGAAAAATAATTAGGGTTCCACGCATATAATTAAAACCGTCGAAATTGTGAACAATACCGCGTACCTACGGAGGCACCCAAGCAAAGCGACGGTAATTCGCTACTTGATCAATAAGGTTGTTCGATTATAAGATGTGCCAGTACCTACCTATTAATTTTTTAGCCTTAATTTATTTACTAGATTCATCACTGATGATATTAAGGGAGATTTTTTATATTACAGCTGGTTTTGTTTAAAGATATTTTAGCATTTTTCGTATTGGTTACCAGCGCAGTGGGTGTGATTAGGCTGAAGGGATCTTCTCGAATGTTCCATGAATGTGATTGGAGTTTACTGTTAGATGGTTTTCAGGTGATTCATTAGGAATATTTTTTTCTGAGTAATTTTACATTCATATAATTATAATCCATAAAATAGCGTTGTCTGCGGGTTCGCCTGCGTATACTGTAGCGTATCCCGTACTGTAATAAAGTGATCGTAGTGTGACCAGACAAAATTTATGGTGTTATCAAAATTTATTTTAAAATACATATATACGAAAATAGCATTAAAATTCAAGTATATAATAGTACTTATAAAAAAATGTTTTAAAAGACAACAAAATTGAAAGTGTCCGCGACACCATTGAGAAAAAGAGAGACAATAGCATTCCCAAGGAGGGTTGACGTCAGGCAGGCGTGGGGCGGCCGGTCGTAAAACTTTTGCCAAATCCTTTCAGCAGTACAGAAGATGTACTGCGCCGACCCCAAGTGATTGGGAAATGGGCAGGGAGAAGAGACGAAGTGTGACTAGACTGGTAGTTCCAGAGATGAGTGGTTTCAAACAAACAAACTCTTAAGCTTTATATATTAATTAGTATAGATATTAAAAGTAAGTAAATACTCTACGAGAACTAAATATCGTAGGTAATGTTAAAATGATTACCGTTCTCATTTCAGATTTGGAGAGAAGCAGTAGAATATTCGTTTCTCCAAATGGCCTTATCTCAAGGCACGTTAGTGATGTTGGGTTCTTATTGTCCTAAAGGGAAGCACACGCTAGAGAACACGTCGGTTTTTGCTTTCGCAGTATCTAAGCTCAGTTACACTGTCAGTGCACTCACGCTTGGCGCTTGTCATGGGGCTTTATACAAAGATTATGATAACAGTACTAATATTTGGAAAGGTAAGCTAATTTTTAATAATAGAGACTTCACGTATGCTATGTACCTATACATATATTGATATATATATATATATATATATATATATATATATATATATATATATATATATATATATATATATATATATATATATATGAAGTCTCTATTTAATTAAATCTTGATCATTTTTAACGTAATTCTATTCATCGTATTGATTTCAAAGTTTTAAAATAACTATGTGTAAACCGAGTGATAATATAATAATAATTAGCATCGAACTGTTTATTTTTTGATTACACTTGCTTTTCCCCGCGGATCTGCTCGGGTACTTTAACTATGTATGATTGCTTCGCTGCTAAGAGTTGTATCACGATTTTAATTACCATATAATGTTCCTCAATATCGTATCGGCTATGAAATCCAAAAAGATTTTTTTAAAATGGCCTGAGTAGTTTTAAAGATTAATTAGTACCTACGTTCTAACAAAAAGGTAAAAAAAAACAACGTCTTCAAATTTAAAAATAAGAATATGAGATATAAAGGTATAAGATATGAAATTAAAACAAAGCTATTGGATATAAAATTTATATGTTATAGGTCCGACGTCGTCTATGATATTGTGGGCAGATTACGTTTCGAGAATGCCCGGCAGCCAGTTCTGGTCGGCTATTGTATTTTTCACTCTCTTTGTACTTTCTACTTCATATACGGTAAGGTTTATTTAAAAATATGAATTCGTATATCTTTTCCTTTTAAATCGTTTATAATACCTACTACTATCACAAATTCGAAAGTTTGTTTGTGTGTGGGTACACGCTGTTTATTACTCCTTCCCGATGAGAAGGCTGTGGTAGCCAAGTCGTCGCCATAGTGCTTATTTGTTCAAACGACCAATACTCGTTGTACTTTCCAGTTGAGCTTTTTTTCCTCTATTTTAAACACAAAGCTTTATTTCTAATATTCATATACGTATATCGATAACATACATCTTTTCGGCGTTTTTTGAGTAAAATGTGTATTTTATACCAATAGAATTGATATTTAAAAGTAAATAATTCTGTATTAAAAACTTTTTTTGGTAAATAGGTCGTTAGGGACAAATAAGCACTGAGACGATGCAATGGCAACGCGCTTGCTTGAAAAACTAAGTGAAGAAGTAGGTACCTACCTAGTTACCTATAATTTTACAAAGAAAAAAGAATTATAAAACTTATGTGCAACAATCTCACTAAAATCTCATACTTAGATTTAGATAGCATACCACTACTTTCTTTATCAATACCTACAAGTATTTTTTTTATTCACTCATAGGCGTTACTTGTACAAACAATCATGTCAACGTTCACTGGACGTTCAATAAGAAAAATTACATGGGCTTTCCTCATCTTGGTCTGCGTATTGTTTTGTTTGATAGGAATTATTACTCTCTGTACGCAGGTAAATTTTATTCAGTCGATATTGATATTTCATTCATTAACAAGAAAATTGAATTGAAATGTATATGTAATATTTATATTTACTTGTAGTTTTAAACATGTATTTTAGTTTTTAATTTATTAAGTACCTAGTATCTAATGAAAGTATTTTCCTTTTTAGTTATATAGATATTTTTTTGTTTTTATTTCTAAAATACCTACATTTTGAATGTTGGCATGCCTATATGCCACAGAACAATGAAATGAATTGATTTGAAAATTCAAATTTTGTACAATTTACTCTCCAAGAATCCGATTTTTTTTCGCTTCATAACTAAATAATTTATAATATGAATATTTTATCGTGACTTTTTTTTTATTACGTAGGACACCTAATTAATTTTGTCACTCCTTATTTGTAGGGAGGAATGTATATACTCAACTTTCTTATGACATGGCCGGTATCTAAGCCTCGGATACCGATAGCGGCCGCTATCACTATAATAATCACCTATCTGTACGGACAGACGACGTTCTGCGAAGATGTCTTCTTCGCAGTGGGGGAATACCCTAGTGTCTTCTTGAGGATTTGTTGGGCATTCACGCCTATTACGCTGGTGGTAAGCTTTATCCTCAATTATTGATTGTTTTTTGAAGTTATACTTCTTTTGGCACGTTTGGAAAAAAATATGAGAGTAAAATTTTTACGATGCGCGCGCACACCGACAGCCAAAAAGCGACATGATGAAGTTAGCTGAATTCCTTTTACAAACAGAGAGTTGTGACATACGGGATGAAATCTTTAGCTGTTTTGTTCTGTTACGTCAAAGAAGTTTAACTTCTTACGTATGTACATAAGTACACACACACACACACGTTTTTTTAATGTAGCTAAAGTATATTTTTTATTTAACATTTTAATATCTGATTTTTTTTTATTGGTATATATTTTGTTTAGATATTAAAAGTAGCTCTTAACAATGGTATAATTTGTATTAAATAACTATATTAATTGTACACGATATTATATTAGAAAAAATAATATTGAAACTTTTTCTTGACAGGTTCACTTTATAACGAGCACGGCGTCATCGCAGACAGATACGGTGGCAGGCTGGGTTTTAGTCATGGTCACTTTGCTGCCAATGGCCATTTATTCTTCATTTTATCTAATCTTTAAATTTCGAGTTCGGGTACATATAATATTTTTTAGTAGAGCCTCTTTCATATTCGTAGAATCATAGATATTAAAATACTTTTCGTAAATAGAAAGGTATTAGTACAGGCTTGCGTGCGAAAACACGTGAGCAGTTTTTCTATTCTCTCTCAAAAGTCCGATGGGACGATATTTAATCACTGGTGATAAACAGACCAGGCGCAGGACCGACTTGACACGTGCTCTACGAGACACGGCGGTGAAACAGCGAAAGAATAGTTACTGTAAATTTGTTTACAAAAAAAAAACTACTTTAATATGAATTTTCTATATTTTATATTGGACCCGGGCTGTGACTCGAACCCAATCTCCAGATTTTGCAGCCGTACACTAGCTAGCTGCTAAACCTAAGCTAGTTTAATTAGTTGAAACTAGCGTATGGTAAATATTGTTAAAATTATCTTGCATTCGAATAAAAAAATCTGTGATTTTTACAATTTTTTACCGTGATAAAAAAATATCATAAAAAGTAAAAGCGCCATCTGTAAATATACACTACAAAGTACAAACCCTTCTCTGATTGTTGACATTTCAATAGCCAGTAAAATTACATAAACTTGATTTACGGGCACATTATTTTATTTCCCTTCACATACACACACATTTTTAAAACATCTTTTCGGGATATTTTTTTTTATTTTTTGTTAATTTAACACAACTTTAATAACATGTAACGTCATCTATTGACATTTATTTGAACTAATTTTTCTTTGGTCGTGATGAGATCCCATGACTGAGTCTGAAAGTAATCAAACCAATTCCGACTTCAGTTAATCTATACTAATATTATAAAGCGATAAGTTTTGTTTTTTTGAACGCACTAATCTCAGTAACTACTAATCCGATTTGAAAAATTCTTTTTGCATTAGATAGCCCTTTTATTGAGAATGGCTATGATATCATCCCGGAAAAAATTTATGGGTCCTGTGGGATAGATTTTATTTTTTAATCTAGGGACGAACCCTAACGAAGCGAGGGTGAGTCGCTAGTAAAAGTATACACGTTTTTGCTTTTGGTGACTGTTGATAACTCACGGAATGCAATCAACGCCATCTCTGAGAATACGCAGTAAATACATTTATTCATTTCAGATGTTTCTAATTCTTTGGCTATCTCGATTGTTACATACTTAATTATATTGTGATATTGACCATGTACAAGCAGATATACTTACTTTTTGCTATAATTTTGCAAGTTGCTAATATCATTTCGTTTTGTTTCAGAATATCGTTGGGAATGAAAAATAAGTATTTATATACTTTTAATTTATATAACAAAGTATGGAACATAAATGTATTTTAATAATAAATAACTCTTCTTGTCAGGTTCTTTTTATTTCTTCTATCATTTTTCTGTCGTACAAAATCCTCTCTATCCTGGACCCGGTCGAGTAATTAAGATAATTAGTTCTCTATATAGGTATCTCTTAGGCAGTGGTAGCCCAGTGGTAACGCGCTCGCTTGGAATACCAAGTGAAGCGGGTTCAACTCCTGGGTCTCGCACCTCCTGTGAGAATCATTTCTAACTTGATTACCACTTGCCTTACGATATGAAGATAACTATCGTTGAGAAAACCCGCATATCTGAGATAACCTAGCAAGTTTTCGAAAGACATGTGAAGTCCGCCAACCCGCACTTGGCCAGCGTGGTGCACTATGGCCTGATCCTTCTCGTAATGACGGGAGGCCCGTGCCCAGCAGTGAGACGTTAAAGATGGCCTGAATACATAGATATCTTTACAAAATATTGTTGAAAAAAAGGGACCTTCACTTCGCTATAAGTTTCGAGTTAGTGTCTAATTTCGATGGTTCTGTTTTTAATTTGTAAGGTAGTAACTTCAAATTGATCTCATAAAAAATGGTGAAGATCTGATCAGGATCTTCAGCGTGAAGAGCAGAATAGCTCCTCAAAATACAGTTTGTGTTCACGAGATCTGTTCACAGAATTATTATTATTAATTTGTATCAATGCTCAAGACATAAATTTTATTTGCAAGACTTTATATAAAATATAATACTAATATTATAAAGAGGTAGTTACTGGTTTGTGACGTTGTAGAAGGTAATCTCTGGATCTACTGAACCGATTTAGATATAATTTAGTAAGAAGATAGTTTTGAGACCCTGGGAAGGACATAGGATACTTTTATCCCGTAAATCATGCTTTAAGGGGGTGAAAATGGGGATGAACGTTTGTATTGGGAAGCAAGCTAAGCTAAGTAACTAGTAAAATATAAAAAAAAACAAATTCAGAATGACACCATATTTTATTCACAAATTTTTCATAACACCAATTTGTTACCAAAATAAAGGATTATTTTATAATTAGTCGTACACACATCCACTTTAACAACGTAGGGGCCTGGTTATAATGGACAATGCTTATTTTAACATACCTTTGATCTTACACTGGCCTCGTCCATTACACCCAGAGTATATTATTATTTACACATTTCAATTAAAAGGTAAACAAAAACTAAATCTTCTATATAAAAGCTGTAACTTAAAAGGCAAATCGAAAATAATTTAAACATTAGTTCAAGAGATTTCATACAATTTACCTATTATATAAAAATCCCTTACTATAAACACACGAGTCTTGAGAAATTCTTTAATGAATTTGCTTGTAAAAAATTTAAGAATTCGAATTATATATTAAATAATGATATTCGAGAAAGTCAAATCTCACCACTAAGTTACAGCTCTCACAGCAAACATGTTCACGAGTGATTGGGACACACATATTAATACAGCCTTGGATCTTAAAACTATAATTAAACATAACTTAAATAATGATCTTCTCATATAAAAATAATGATGCATATAAAACCTAAGTAGATAGACCGCAACCGTTCATTGTAACACCCAGCTATAGTAACTACTGCACAGCTATTTCGTTTAATTTAGTTTTTAAATTACCATCTCACGACTAAGGAATAATATAGACAGTGTCATAGAAACAAACTAAGATGAAGCCAAACAGTGTGTTAAAATAAAAGTTTAAAAAATAACATAAAAATATTAATTAAATACTCATTACTGTGATATGTAAATAAAATTAAATAGCTGAGGAAATTTATAATAATAAAAAAGCTTATATTATGCGATCTTTCAAGGGGAAGAGAACCAATGTTTAAAATATTGAAAAGATTAGAGTAATTTTTATTACTCATATTTGCTTCACAATAATTCTAAATTAACGATTAATACTTAAATAAAATTCTTTATTCCCAAGGAGGGTTGACGTCAGGCAGGCGGCCGGTCGGTCGTAAAACTTTTGCCAAATCCTTTCAGCAGTACAGTAGAGGTACTGCACCGACCCCAAGTGATTGGGAAATGGGCAGGGAGAAGAAGACTTAAATATAAAATTCTTTAAAATTCCTTATTATTTAAAAAAAGTAAGTAGGTAAACAAACAAGTAGCATAAATAGGAAAACCACCCTACTATTTTTGACTTTCCACATCTATTTTGGCGGTCTGTCTATATAATTCTTCAGTCTGCGTTTAGTGTATTTTCGTTATTGTTCATTGCACCGAAAGTTTTAGATTTGAGACTAGAAATGTGTATAAAATTGTATTACATAGTATATATCACTGTTACGGCGACGCCATTGCAGCGCTGTCATGTATACTCAAGATTCGTTAATCACTTAAAAAAAAAACACAACGATAACTATTTACATTAAAAATTAAAACTGAAAATTAATTACGCTGTATCAATAAACACCACGTGTACTGTATATTATAAAAAAAAATTAAAAACACGTTATTATTCATAGAATAGAATTTTCATATATCGATTTTTAAAGTGGGTATAAGTATTATATAAAATACAAAAAAAAACTGAATTGTTTAGATTTCACATTTCATATATGATCGATTGGCACAAGAGCATTTTAAAGACATACGCAACAATCGGCAATAAAATTATAATTATTATATGTTCTTCACACATTTTGATCGAGCTTATCAATATCAGGAACGTTTACTATCAATACAAACAAACAAACTAACACAACTTTAATTATATCTAGTCTACATACAAAACCGGAACAATGCAGTGAGAAATGAATATTGTATGACTGTAGATAACTATACAGAGGAAAAATATTTTTATGTTTATAAAACTTAAAATCGTGTTAGATAAAAGCAGATGGAGTGTTTATAAACTATGCGATTAATAATTAATACAAGTTGCCCAACTAATTTAACACCATTCATCACCAAACTATATAAAATACGACATAAATATTAAAACGCTCTATATTATTTTTGCTACAATATAACTCTTCAAAGGTGAGATTTTTCTGACCTTTCAATTTTAACTTTTGATAATATAAAAGGTCAGTCACAAGTGTTTAATTAATTACATTTATGCATTCGTAGATTCTTGCTGTCGCAGCACATTGCTCATTTAAGCCGCGTTGACACGATCAAAGTATACTTTGACAAAGTAATTTTGATGTGGACGTTAATCAAAGTGTACTTGGACCGTGTTCTACTTTTCTAAAAGCCTGCTTTGACAAATCGTGTAAACGCGCAATCAAAGCACATTGACGTCGGTGTTCAATCAAAGTGGGCTTTATTAAAGAGAACTTCGTTTCAAAGCTTTTTGTCAAAGCAGATATTGAGCGTGTCAACAAGTATCCAAGTTAAACTTTGATCGAAGCTAGTTTGTCAAAGCCAAAGATCAAAGACTTTGATCGTGTCAACGCGGCTTTAGGATCGAGCTATATCAAAGTAAACAATTAAATAGGACCTTGCAAGGCTACGGACTGACACAATATATTATACAAATAGTTAATTCTAATAAAAGAAAATAATATAAATCCATTTATATATTACCTCTTTATAATTAACGAATCAAACATTGATTATTTATTAGAAAATTACAAGCATTTTATAATTGGTCAGAAGTTTCCAACTTCATTACATACATATATAATAAATATGCAACACAGACAGACTTAACTAAAAGGCAGCTGTTACAAGAAATTCTAGTCTAACGTGCTCATAAATTAGTATTTTGCATTTGGGGACCCTGCATTCAGTCTCAAGAGGAGCATACACAAAGAAAAATATCCATTCAATAAACCCGAGCTTAATATGAACTTTTTCATATATCTGACCCTTCAATATCTGGAATATAATTCCATATTGTATATAACCTAACTCGTTAAAACATAAGTATGCAACAACCATATAACACATTCGATCAATTTCTTTATATCAACCATATCAGATGATTTAGTTCGGCTATCATGGATTTACCTAAGGTAATTATTAAATTAATATGTTGTCTATACAGATAAATAAAATGAAGTGTCTGTTTGTAATGTCAAAATAACAGCTTTCTACTAAATGCATATGAAATTCTATTTAACACAATTTTTAAAAATTTTGTTCGTCTATCTGTTCTGCTCCAGCTAATCTCTGAAACGGCTGGACCGATTTTGACAGGACTTTCACAGGCAGATAGCTGATGTTATAAGGAGTAATTTTGGCTACTTTTGTTTTATTAAAAGAATTAGGGTTCGGCTAAAAAAATTTAAAACGGACGCACCCGAGCAAAGCAAGGGTAAGTCAAACTATACATTTAACTTCAAAGTATTTTAAATTAAATAATGTCATACACAAGTTAACAGTGTACGCTCCACCGGGTTACTCGAGCATGCAAACAAGTCACTATCAAGGAACAATATCATAACCTAAAAATCAATTTGTGCAAATACAAAGTTAATTTTAATTTACATATTATAATATATTCTGCTATTTTATATTTTAAATTCGTTTCAGTTCTACCAGAGAACCAGGTAATTTCAAATTATATACAAACTGGATATTTGAGGGCTGAGTCGAAATCGCTTGGTAAAAGCGAGCATATTGTAGATCAAACACTAAATTAATTATAAGTATTAAAAAGAAATTAAGTTAAAAAATAATGCTTAATAAAAACACTTAAACTTATTTGTCTAACCAAGTGCGAAAATAATACGTTATTATATAATCAAAATCAAAGATCTCAATTCAAATATATTCCGACTCAAACCTCATTGGTGAATGATATTAATTAAAATAGCAATATTAAATATTAACTATGTCATTCCTCAGTTTATTTTAAAAACTCTACATAAGATTAATAAGCGCGATATTAATCAAGGAGGTATGTGCCTTATAGTATGTAGATTGGAAATACAACAAAATTTTTGATGAAGGCATGAATGAATATCCTTAAATTGTCAATATATAACTACAGTATGAGCTACCCAAAATCCAAATAAACGAACAACAACCAAGTTATACATATACATACATATAAAATCTTAGAACATTAGCCGTAAATAACTCTGTACCAGAAATGATAAAACTAAATCTATATCAATCATCATTATCATAGTTAAATTGACTAATTTTAAAGACTAAATATTTTTTATTACAATTGGACTCAAACCAAATTGTGTTTTAGATAATTTTTGTAACACTTAAGTAGAAAAGCGCTATTTATTAGCAAACTCAAACATTATTAAATTACGATTAATTTCTTTCTAGCAAAATATTAGCAGGTCGTAAGAGTCAGAGTGGTCACTGCCAAAGTTCTGAAGGGCCACTTTGGCCCTCGTGGCCTATTTTTTTTGAAAAGGCCTTCGTATATTGCCTTTGAAACTCTACAAGTAAATTTATATACACATTTACTGTGTGATTACAATTACTATATTACATTTGAGATCATTCTTACTTTAAGGATATACCATACAATCCTCATCCATCTTACATAGCTACACTAGCACTAGTCACAAAAGAAACATGCGATGGTTTAAATTCATATAAAATTTCCATACAAAAGATCAGACTCTCATTCACATTTACGCAATTTTAACAGACAGGAGATAGATTTCAAGGTAATTTTGAATAATATTAAAAACAGACAGACACCCAGAGGCCAGCAAGTTAACATACGAGGTACTCTAACTACGCCAAAATCCTTTCATAGGTCACATTGCTAATACAAATAATCTTATTTAACATTTAATGTAGAAAAACATTTTAACATATAACTTTGAGTGGTCTCATCATTTATAGTATTTGCTTTATTTATATTTTCTTTTTCTGTACATATAGAATAATTTAGTGATAGACATTTAATTTATTACATGAATTAATTTAAACCCACAAAGGGCTTTAGCATAGTTAGCAGCACCATATATAATCTATATATTTAACACTTACAGTATAACAATTTATATTAAAAAAGCCATATCATTGTCCTTCACATCCCATATCACAATACCAAGGTCACATCCCCACCCATGATCAGTCCGTCGCAGCACCGTTTCATAAAACCCTACAAAGCGTTCCACTCAAACCCTTATATAATATCTAGGACGAAATTTTGTAAGTCAACTCCCTATATTGTTTAAAATGCAATCTGGCATCCAATGCACATTCTGTTTTGACCTTTAGCTGTACTGATAAAAATAATATTTATTTTTAGTACAATATAATGCAAAATATTCAATAAAAACAAAATATGCATTCTTCATGTTATCACAACAATATTTTTTTTACAATTCTTTGTACTTTCCATCAATTCACTGATTCATGATGTTCGGATGAAATAAGGGTGATCAATACAGAACTATGTAAGAAGTTTAACATTTACACTATATTTTTTTTACATTTTTTTCAATTTATAACACAATTCCATATTGTCGAGGCCTTAATTAATACTAATGGAGGAGCGACATGAAATACAATATTCATTAATTTACAATATCTATGTACATAGAGGATAAAAAAATTCATAATATGTCCATTTACAACCAAGAACTTAAACAGCCAACTCCATACAAACAATATTTACACAGGTAAGACCACTTTTAAACTTTAAATAAGTTCGAAGATATTTTATTGAATTATACAAAATAAATGTAGAGATGGGGGACATTTTGTATTTTATACATTAACAAGTTATATACATCTAATGCTATTTACATTAAATAACAGTTCAGAATTTCACAGTGAAATATCCAGGTATACACAACTGAAGTTAGATGTGATATTTAGAGCAATTTCAACACATATTTTGTGCTAAAAAAAATTGTTCCAAAGTTGCCAACCTATTTAAGGACTATCAGTGCAAAGTCTTAAACAATTAATGTAATTGTATTATATCAAATAACATTAAAAAAAACTTTTTCAGGGAAGTTAGCAACTTTTAAAGGAAACTTATAAAACTTAAATGTACTTATATTAATTTCGTTGTGCATTTACGAGGCACATAACTTACACTACACATATTCAGTCACTTCACTGTCCACATATAACTATTAGGCCTCACTCTGGCTTTCCGGGAGTACGATGAGGGAGTAACGTATCGTGCCTACGATACATAAGCAAATATGGCATTCTCGGAGGCTTAGCTTTCAACACTTGGGCATCAGTTACTTGAGTTACTGTTGAATCGTCATACCTTAGAAAAAGGTAGGTAATGTTAAATAGTGCTCGGTTATTTTAGTAACATATTGACGAGAGTTTGTAGACTCAGTCTGGTTTGTCTACATACTAGTGATTTTATCACTTTCAGAGACGAAAAATAAGTAGCATCATTGTAGTATATTTTTGTAATAATAAATAAATATGTTGGGACATTAATACACAGCATGCTCATGTTATGGATACCAGATAGTTGATACACTACACTTTTAACTTTGGATACATACATATTATAAATATAAACACCCACAGCTGGAGTACAAACATTCATGCTCATCACACAAATGAATGCCCCCAGCGGGACTTGAACCCGCGACCGATAATATGAGCATTATTATAATAATTTCCCCTGTCCTGCAATCATGTAGTTAGTTTGCAAATATTAATTAAATATTTTTGTTGATTCTTAATACCAATATCACTAAACAATGTCTGTCAAACCCATAGACACTTGACTTTTTAATTAAAAAGAAAAAAAAAATTACATATATTTTTTTCTTACCTGATCCAACCAGCTTGGCCATGGAAAGTGTCAGTAAGGTAATGCCCCTTAACAGCCTCAACGCCTTCATGATAGACTACAGCAAATAGCTTGTAGAGACGTTGCTTTCCTGAGTGCTTCGATGACATTATCTCTATAAACGTAAGTATTCAATTTGAATTAATTGATTATGCAAATATAGGGAAAATTGTTTTGTTTTTTACTTTACTCAGTTTGTTTTGTCCACAATTTGGCGATATTTTATCGCTTTCAGAGACGAAAAATAAGTAGCATCATAGTAAATATTTATCATTTAGATGATTTATCTGAATAGGCATACTTCACCTATGGGTATATATTTATGTTTAAATTAATAAATTTTCTTAGTTTTAGCATAGAATAATTTTACTACATATTTAATTTTTGTTGTAAGCTTGTAAACTGATCTATTCATAGATATGTAATGAAAAAAATAATAATAATTAAAATATTAAAAATTGAATCATATTCCATCCATAACAAATGTAAAGAAAACTAAAACAAAAAACTAAATTTAGTTTAACTCCTAATAATTGTCATACAACCAAATATACATACTTGGATCAATTTTAAGGTCAATTGGGAAGTCAATATTCTTAACAATCTTGGCAGTGTGACCCTCAGAGTCCAACTGGAAGCACTTCAGATGTAATAATAGCACAACAGGTAACTGTTCCAAAGACAGCTGTTGCCAGGCATCTGAGACTCCTTCCAGAGTGTCTTTGCCAGCTAAAAGTTCTAGTGCATCCTTGACAGTTGTTGAACGCTGAAAATGAAATATTCCAAATATAATATGTATTCAATTTATTTAAACTGCCTCGGTGGTATAGTGGCTAGCATGTACTGCTGTACATCCAGAGGTCCTAGGTTCGAATCCCGGGTCGGGCCAAGTATAGTTAGCCTCAGTAACAGCACAGAGTTGAGAAGTTAGCGGTTTTTCACCCCCGTGCCTCCGCGACACGTAAAGCTATCGGTCCTGCGCCTTAACTCTCACCGGTCATATCGAGTAGTCGTCCCACTGGAGTATGAGAGTGACGGGAATACACAGTGCACTATAATATCTCCTGCGCAGTCGGCTAGCCTCAATGAGATTGGCCGCCGTGGTCAAAAACGGTCAGGACTTATTCAATTCTCTTGTTTTATTAATTAATGGCTTTGAAATGTGTCAGTTGAGCACAGATTACTTTACCAAAGCCACATAGAATGGAGGAGACTAATGTAATCTGTAGTAAAGTAAGAAACAAAATTTCGGTATCATTCAATTTTCAATAGGGGCGAAGCCATATATGTACCAATTAGCGACTTAAACTCGCTTCGCTCGAGTGCGTCTATACGCGCCTAATCTTATATACTTCTCTCCATCCAATATACTCTAGTTCAGTCTTGTTGTGTACTAAATTTAATTAAAATTCATCCAGTCGTTTAAGCATGTAGAAACAAACACACACACATACAAACTTTTGCATTTATAATTGTAGTTCAATTTGTATATCTGTATACAAAATACAAACAACCGAACAGATTTTACAGATGTCACTTTACAGGCACACGTTTGTAATGTCTCGGTATCGACGCCTCATCCTGACCGTCAGAGTCATAACAACACAACTTACTACTCTCTTAGAATTACGCGAATATTTTCGGATCTTTTCGCGGATTTATTTTGATTTTTGATTTCCAACGTTTTTAATATATCCAATGATCATTCCCGTAACCATGATCGCTATAAAAAAGCATACGAAACGTCAAAAAAATCGAAATAAATCCGAAAAGACAGTTTTATTATTATATAGAACACAACTCACTTCAATATCAAGTTGCAGTGTAAAGAACGGCTGCACGGCATCCGTGACGTCATGGTGCGGGGCCCGATGCAGCCGCAGGCGGGTGCGGCCGCGGAATATGTCCGCCACGGGCGTGCGTCGAGCGGCCCAGCGACGTTCCACCGCTCCACGGTTACGGGGACCCATCACCTGTAAACACATGTTCAGTTATAATTTTATTCTCCTGGGCACGAGCCTCCTTTCAATACGAGCGGGATCAGGCCATAGTCCACCACGCTGGCCAAGTGCGGGCGGACTGAGCATGTCTTTTGAAAATTTTCTAGGTTCTCTCAGACATGCAGGTTTCTCACGATGTTTTCCTTCACCGTTAAGACAAGTGGTAATCATGTTAGAAATGATTTGCACATGAAAATATCAGAGGTGCGAGACCCGGGATTTGAACCTCTTCCGTCGCTTCCCAAGTAAGCGCGTTACCACTGGGCTACCACTGCCTCAATTATAATTATACTATTTTAATTCCATATTATAAACTAGCGACTAAAATTCCCTCCACTCGGGTTCGTCCCTATTTACGTTTTAAAGTTTAGGATAGATTTCTTAGAGATGAGATATTTTCCCACAGTAAAAAGTATCTTATATGTTGACTCGGACCAGCTATCATCATACCAAATTTCATCAAAATCTGTGCAGTGGTTTTCTCATGATGCGGTCACAGACAGATTGACAGATTGACAGACAGACTTAAAAATTCTAAAAACTATAGATTCGGCCTCTGCATCGATTTTCAAAAGATTTTATTATAGATAACTTTAAATATTTTTATAAATTATAGCCTATATATTACTTTAAAATAAGCTATATTATTGAAATGTTTCATCAAAATCCGGTCAGTAGTTTTGAGCGAAAGAATAACTAACATACATCTAATTAGTAGGATCAAAATTCTACACTAATAATCACCACCAAAATTCTATAGGTTTTTTATTCTAAAAACCTGGAGCAATAGACCTATGGACTCATCTGAGCGAAGTGTGAGGGTGTATCTAGTTTTGACTAACAATAAATATAATTAGATATTTAACACCACTAACCAATTGACATACTTTTTAGCTGTTAAAATACGACTCCCCCGTACATTTTAAAAAGCAATGATAATATGCATCACTTATTTTCCAAATGTAACTGTAGTAATAAAAAATATAATTTTACAGTTAAGTTAAAAATTAGTCAGACTTTCAGAACTTATGATAATACAACACCTTTGTTAATTTTATTAACAAAGATATTGTATATATGATATAAACTTATGATCATAAGTTTTAAATATATACAACAGAAATATGTTGTTTTGAATTATTATGGTTCATTTGAATGGTTTACTTAGATGCTCACCTTCCATTCATCATCGTCATCATCCTCTTCTACAGGCTGTTCTTGTGGAACAATACCATTTGGTTTCCCATTTGTATCTTTTGGTTCTTCAGGCTCCACTAGTTTTATCAACTGAAAAAATTAATAAGTATACTTTTTTGATATATTTTCTTGGCTTTAAGGGTGGCCTTACAATAATAAAGACCTCATATAATGTTAATGTAAAGAAAATTTATATAGTTATAAACTAAATTTAGATACAAAAAACTTTATATCTAAATATATTTAAGTAACATGTCTGTGTTTATTCTAGTATATGGAGTGAACAGTTAACAGCCTGGCACCCAAGGGATGACTTTAGGAACCAAGGTCGCAAAGTGAGAGGATGTGAGGATGAATTGAAAATGACCTTAGGTCGGTCCCCTTTGGTTAAGAGTGGTGGCAGATTGAAAGCAGTGGTAGGCTGTTTAAGTCATAAAATGTAAGAAAGTTCCGAAATAAAGGCTTTATTATTATTATGTTACACCAAAAAATTGCTCACCTCAAGCATTTCATCGTTCAATGAATTAAGCAAGCATCCGAGGAACTCCTCAGCATCCTCTTGCTTGCCCTCTTGGCTGCCAGGGAAGGGACGGAGCGCTCTCAACACGCGTAGGCCTGCAGATCCGTCCAGGGGAGGACCCGCGGGTACAGTTGGGGCTGGCCCGGAGGCCCCGGCTTCGTTACGCCCACGCCTGGCTGCACTGGCTAGAGGGCTGAACTCGTAGCACAATTCCACCCTGGAAGTAATTTGTCATTTATATAGCTTGTTTTTTTTTTTAATTTAAAACTACTGGGGTGCTTACCTCAAATAAAAGCGATAGGTTGCGTTCTCAATAGATGTCTCCTCAAAATATTTCTCAAGATGTTTTTTATATTAATTATAATAAAATAAAATAAATATGTTGGGATATTAACACAGAACTATCTAGTTCCATGGTAAGCTACGAGGTTTGTATTATGGATACCAGATAGTTGATAGTGTAGTAGTAGTACACTATATAACTTTAGATACATACATATTATAAATATAAACATCCATGACTGGAGTACAAACATTCATGCTCATCACACAAACATGTACCCCCAGCGGGACTCGAACCCGCAACCGCTGGCACAGCAAGTAATACTGAACTAAACGTTATGTCAACTCTAACTTTTATAAAATTATATCTTTCTAAAAATTATTAGAATTTATTTTCAAAATTACTTACATAGAGTCAATAACGGGTGTACTGGACTTCCCACGTCGCGTTTGGTACGGCAGGGCCTTCAGCATGTTGTAGAAGGGAGGGCAAGCTATCAATGCCTGTAAAATCGCATTCACGTAGCAGTAGTTTGAGCGATTTGTAAGACCACGAGGCAAGAGTGAAACTGGACGATGGTCTAGTTGATATTTAGTCAGGAATTCTGAAACACATTTTATTTCTTTTTTATAAAATACGTTTTTGACATGTAAATAGTGTGAAAAAAGAAATAATTATTCAATTTTGCTATAATTACTATAATAGTTAAAAGTAATATTTACCTCCCATCCTGTAAGAATTAGGGTCATCACTGAATGGTGATGGTTGTACTGGTACGGATGGAGAGTTCTCTTTCTGTATTGGCACTTCACGTACTTCGGAAGCGGGTGTTGTTACAGGCTTAGCAGGCAAAGTTGGGGTGCTGACATTGCTTACAGCATTCACTGAGGTCTTCTCGGAATAAGATATTGTTGGAGCAGAAGATGTCAGCGATCTTGGTGCTGAAGATTTATCCACCACAGTTTGTAAGGGTGAAGCATCAAATGGTGGAACCTTTGCCACTGGTTTCTGTATATTAGTTGCTGCTGGCGGAGCGGGGGTTGTTGGACTGGACGGTTCTTCGACTGGCTGGACTGTAGGGGACGTAGTTGTCATACTACTTGGTTTATTGGAGAAGAGACTCGCCCAAGACTTCCCTGGGGCCGGTTGCGGCTGTGGTTGCACAACGGGGGCGGGTACTGGTTCTCCCCTTATTCTGGGAGTGGGAGGTGGTGGAAAATCTGATGCTGTTGGAGCCGGTGGTGGCGGTTGAGGAGCTGGAGGAGGTTCAGGAACCACCGTTGCTTTTCTAGAGTGTCCAAAAGGTGATTTGTTCGTCACTATCACTGGAGGTCCTTGAGCGTGCAAGGTTATAGAAATAGGCATAGGAGCTTTGCTTGGCGGCAATGGTGGTTCGCGCTTGACATGCTCTACTTGTACAGGTTTTTCTGTATCGGCAATGTCGGTTGAAGGAGATCGATTGGAATTACCTTCACGTTTTTGTCGATTACCAAACGGCGCTTTCGGTGTAGAAGCAGATTGCTGAACTGGTACGGCAGTAGGTACAGGGGGTTTAGGTGGTTGCTTTCCAGTGGAAAAGGGTGCAGTAGGGCCTTTAGGTGTTTTTCCAATTACAGGTGGCACTTTAGCACTAGCTGCTTGAACCGTTGGTGCTACGGCAGGAGTAAAAGTCTTTGTTCCATTTTGAGATTGGTTACTTTCTGGTGTCTTACTATCTGGAGTCCAAGCAGGTTTAGTAGGATCTGTTTTTAGGGTCGGTGAAGTCTTTTCAGGGACTGGAGCAGGTTTCACAGAAGTATCTATTCCCTCTTGTTTTGGACTACCTGGTCCTTTGCTGATTTTGAGATCTTTTACAGGCAGTGCTTCAACTGCATTCACTGTTGTAGATGTCGTCGCTGTTACAGGAGGCTTCTGTTCCTGAGTTTTATCAGGTGTGTAAGATTTGGTATGATTTTGACCTGCGACAAAGTTCTTGGCGTGAACATTAAACTGATGAGGTGTCGACTGATGCGGGGGCTGTTGTGGGATTGGCATCGGTGCCGGATGGTGAGGTGGTGGGATATACATTGGGGGCATGTACTCCACAGCGCCCTCTACCGGGGGCCCATACGGCGGCGCGTAATGCGCTGTTGCATAATACGCATCAACTGCTTCTTGCTCCATAACAACTTCTTGTTGATATTCATCTGGTCCTTTATCAGCATCAGCCTCTACTGGTATAGGGTATTCTGGATAGTATGGGGGATATGCATATGGTCCATACACTAGGGGCTGGTACATTGGGAGATGGTACAATGGCGCGCCTTGTGCTTGTGCGGCAGGGTAATATTGAGAATATGGAACATAATACGGATTTGCTTGTGGCTGGGGAGGTGATGGGGGTCGTTTGCTGCGTCTATCTCTTCTGTGGTTTCTTGAATTGCGTTCTACTTGTTGAGGTGGTGGCGGAACATACTGTGCTTGAGGTGGTTGATAATATTGACCCATATATCCATGAACGTTAACGTTTGCCGTGACTTGGCTTACATATACGTTAGGTGGTGCGACTGGCCATTGATGAGGGGGTGGTGGATAGGTAGGGGGTTGGACGTAGGGCGGTGGCGCATGAGGCGGAGCGCCGGCGCTCCGCTGCGGCGAGTGGGGCGCCATCTCGCACTCGCCGCCCGACAGACTGTCCAGGCTGCTCGACACGGTCGGTGGCCCCGCCGTGCTTGACGAACAAGATGAAATATCTATAAACAAGATAATATTTACAAATGTATATTAGTTAAGTTACTCTTATTATCATTTAATTTAAACTATAAAAGTGTGGATCGGTGATGAGATGCATTAAACTAATAAATTGCCAAATAAAATTTGATAATTTTATAACTGATTAAGTGATACACCATATCGATCGTATGTACGAGATGGCGACATGTTTTTAGGTAAATTAACAAAATACAGTACATTATGAGTCTTCTCTTGCAATTGATTACGATTCTTAGGGTAATGATTTGAAAATTTTCCGCAATATTTTTTTTTCACTTTTAACTGTTTCAATTTATACATAATGTTTTGACAAGAACATGCATATATTGATATATTGTAATTGAAAACATAAGTCTTATAGACACAGCTTCTATCCTATTATTATTATCCATATTAACATTATAAATGTGAAAGTTTGTGAGTATAGATGTTTGTTACTCTTTCACACTAGAACGGCTGATCGGATCTGGATAAAATTTGGCACAGAGATATATAATAGTCTGGATTAACACATAGGCTACTTTGTATCCCGGAAAAATGTACGGTTCCCGTGGGATAGGTTTGTTTGTTTTTCCTAAAGGCGAACAGGAGTGAAGCGAGAGTGAGCAGCTAGTTTTATAATAAAAATGACTTACCTACAGCAGGATTGGTCCAACCGGTGGTAACGGTGGACGTAGTATCTGGATTTTTTTCGAAGAGCGCGCACTGCAAACTGCTCAGTTCCGCTTCTTTCACATCTGACAAGTCTAGGAACTCATATTCCTGCAACACGCCACAGATATTCAACAGTGAACTTATAGCTAACAATCCCCTTTTCAACCACTTCCATAATTGTGCGACACATTAAAATGCTGGAAAAGTAGTTTATTATATTTTTGTCTTTAATTATATTAATATTAATACACTTATGTAATATATAATAAAACATAAAAAATACATACATAGTAATTTTTTTATTATTTCATTATATATTATACTTCCATTACCATAATTTAATCACAACTTATGAGTTACCAATATATTTTCTTAATTAAAAATATAATTTCAGTAAAATGTATACTGGTATAACAAATATCAAATATCGATGAAATGTTGTTAAAAAGTTGTCCTTTAACAATAATTTCTATATTTAGTCCCAAAATATCCACTGTTACCAAAGCCACCATTAATATATAAGCCAACTAAACTTAACCCCTTTGCCAAACAACATAACCCATAAAAAGGAAAACAGGAAGAACAGGAAAAGAAAAGAATGAAGAAGAGGAAGAAAGTAATTGTCAATTGACATGCAATGAAATCTAATTTATTTGTATTAATAAATTTTCCATGCATATTTCATTTGGACCAATTTCCCACAATTTCATTTTGTTTATTCAAGTTCAAAATATTTTATGCAGCATTAAATTATTACATTTTTTTACTGAACGTCATGAGTCTACTACTAGTTCAGAAAGAATCCTCAGACCTGAGAAGAACTGGTGAAAGAAACTCAGCGGGACTAATTAATTATATATTTAATTTATTATATATTATATTATTATATGAAGGTATTATCATTTTTTATAAATTTCTGTCTTCACAAGTAGTTTTCATTTAATGTAGAAAGGTATATTAAAAATAGATTTAATTTATTATTTAGACTGAAATAAATTTTATTCAGAAACTGAAATTAAAAAAAAAACAACTGTCTAGGTAAGCATCATTCCACATACACCACCCAAAAGCTTAGTGTAAATGGCACATAATGGGATTCGTGTAAACTTTACACAAGGAGATAATATAAATATGGATATAATGAAAATAACATTAATAGATTTTACATCAAAAAAATAAATAAGAGTCTATGGCGTTTTTATAAATTTAAAACATGGCTATATCAATAGAATTAAAGATAAATAATGATATAGGAATCCGTTTAGTAATTATGAGGGAACATAGGGTTGGACATACATACAGATCAAATACGTAATCTTCCTTTGAACTTTGACACAGTCGGGTAAAAACAGCACCCATATAGCAAATGTTTAATTTAAGAAGGCAAGGAATTGACTTTTTAATTTGCTAGATTGCACATTTAATTACATAATTCATAACAAATTATATTCGTTTAAACCAAATTTTATATTAAATAAAAAAAAATGTAAATTATGAACACGTACACACTGTTCAGGATAGTCATTAATGTCAAATTTATAAGGCACATATATTATGTTGAATCCAAATAACAAATAAAGCCATGAGAAATGTTTAAGGAATTTTATCAATCTAAAGACTATAAATTCAAGAATTGAACTGAATAATATTATCAATTCTATTAACTTGTAAATTTAAAATGATAATGATTGTTTACTGATAATTTCAACTTTAAATATTTAGTAAAAGGAATGGTATTGTTGACGAGTTTTTAATTATAGAATGGCTTCTTATGTAGTCCATACTAATATTATAAATGTGAAAGTGTGTTCCTTAATATCAGAAAGGAAAAGAAATCCTTTAATATCAGAGGATTAAACAAGTACTTTCATGTTTCATATATTTTATTTAAGAAATTAATACAATCCTTTATGAATCTATAGCCATAATGAACATGTTTGTAATGTGTAATCATTAAGACTTACTTCATTTTCATGCCCTACTTCTTTTCATACTATTCAAACATGATGTATAACACTCTTTATTTTTAAATAGTGCTGATATTAATTTAGTACCTACTATAGATTTGGAAAATTTATTGAGAGCAATATAACTAAAAAATATGTAATTATAAATTGGATTACATTAAAATAGTTGTGTCTTTGAAAATTTAAATATTTGTTTCTATTATTAGTTATTACCCTAATACATATATAAATATAGAATGATAAAAGTTTTATAAATAATAAGACATAGGAAAGTAACCTTGAAGTGAGGTGCAAAATGTTCAGGAATGACAACCCATATGAACATTGGACCTCATTACGGTTGTCAAATTTATAGGTTATAAATACTTCGATTATAAATCTGACTACATATCAAGCGTAATTAAATAATAAATATACTAAGAGAAAAGCAACATTCTATCGAACATAAATATATAATGGGACGGTGCCGACTAAATAACAACAACATAACCATCTAGGCACATGTGGTTTGTCAAGTCATGTAATACGATGCAATGCAAAAGTGAAAATGACATACCTAGAACCAATGTTTAATGAATCGCTTCCATCTCAATCCCGTTAAAGCATGATTATCAGCCTCTAATTATTTCTTGTTAAAACTCAAAGCCGACAAATGTGCGGAACATTTGGAGGACTATAAGATGGCGTAACAACGCTGGGTTGCCGGGTGCCATGTATTGACAAATCAACAAACTTTATATTATTATCGTGAGAACCAGATTTTGGAATTCATCTACTTATAGGAAACTATTAACACTTACCTCCCACGTGCACACAAATTCTGTAAAGAGATATTTTTTCTAATGTAATGGCCAGTTTCAATATCACCAAAACAAGAAACAAAAGCCAAACAAAATTTTAACAATATTGCTGCAACTATGCAATCCTTACCGTTTTCATCAAATCCATGGCCTTTTACAGAACACCATTACGAATAATATTGCAGTAAATATTTCATATGTAAAAGGACTGCGGCGTTGCGGAATAAAAATCTTGGAACGGGATCAACGTCGAGGCCATGCACTCACCAACACATAACAGGATGTGACAAAACCCGCGCCATTTTCAATTTCATTCATTTTGTCCAATAGAATTACTGCTTTATTCCCACAGACATCAGATATTGTAATATAATTTCAATGTTGTTATACTTGCTCGGATGTTACGTAATTCATAGACAATATATTATTACGAATAAAATTGTAATGGACAATATAAAGTACAGTAAATTATTGAATAGTATTATGATATAAGTAATGTTTTTAAATATTTTCAATATATTATTCGCAAATCGCATATGCAAGGTATACTAAAAAATATTTCGAATATATTTTTATATAGCAATGTGACCCAAGCGCGCCAAAAATTTAAATATTATATTCTACAGAATATGGAGACTAAAATCAAACTAAAGGAGATTAAAATAATACTAAAATCAAACACGTGTTTTTTCTAACTTACTGCCATTTTTTACTTATATTTATAAATAATAATAAATATTAAGAAACTCTTCTGTACAAATATAAAAAAAAATTGTCTGTCTGTTTGTTCCTTTTCAAATTTAAACTTAATAAGCCAACATAATGTACTAACTAGTCCGGCAATACATTTAGTTTTATCGTATCGGATTTTATAGAAAATACATTTTATTAAAATGGTATAGACTCAGACCAATAAAAAAGTTTTTTATTGGTCTGAGGATATAGAGTACCCTTGATACTATCTTTTGTTTCAATTTGATAAAAATGAGAAATTTTATATGAAATTAGCAGCCCTTTGATGTAATTTATAAAATGTACATAATATTATTATATACATAAGTAGCTCTTAGGTACAATTGCTTATTTTATTGTTATTCCATTTTATCACTTTTTTTTCAATGAGCCGTGCACTTATACATCGATCACTATATTATACATTATACTATTAACAGGATCGACACGTAGTGGAAAGTCGACCAAATTTACAAGTAAACGTTATTGAGGTTATATTATCAAAGTTACATAATATGAAATCTTTAATGTTATTCATTAAATAGACAATAAAATGCAAAGATATTTTCTTAAATCGGATCCGTGGTTCAAGAGTATGTGCAGACAAACAAACAAACGGTTTAGGTTTATGTATTAGTATAAAATTGATAAATGCTTTAGGCTGGCTGGCTAACATTACATTGCAGCGGAGTAATTATAGCCAAATATAGGCAATTATAAAGGAGAATAGAGAATAGACAGCCAGACTCTGTAGTCTCTACATGACTCTTTTACATCTTATAATATTATCTGCGTCCACACACTTTGAGCTTATCTTTACATCTTTACAGAATAAACTGTTGTTCTTACTATAACGTCTTCCTTTTATCGTGATTTAATCATTTAGATTTTAGACACTTTATTTTGGGGTTAGCTGCAATTGTTGCGGTATGCAATAAGCCATTTCTATAATAGATAACAAGTAGTGCTTGCTTTGCTTGCTTGTTTCTGGCATAGAACTCGTACGTTGAAGAATGACATTATATAGCCCTCGTATACATTGCAGTGTAGACCTAAACAGAGTACAAACTACAAAGAAATATTATGCATAGAGGCATTTTATGGCTGGGAAAGTGCTGTTTAGGTTAGTTTATAGCAATTCTACTCTGCACATTGAAGATGATAATGTGATAAAAAGAGTTTTTATTTTTTCGAAGAAGAACCGTATACGTATTTGGATTATTTTATAATTTATGGTTTTTCACATTAACATTAAATTAACTGAAAGGCTTAGCTTTCGTTTGATTTTAACGGGCCATTACACAAGGTATTGTAATTTGTAAACTTAAACATATATTAAAAAATCTAGTTAAGCTAATACAATGATTTTTAATCTAATTATTTTTTGCAGTAATTTTTAATAATAAAAAATCTTAATTTAGAAATGTTATTTATACTAATAATCTATTTATCATATTTTCTATAGATATACAAAGTACCTACATACATATACATACGCACATATGTATACACATGTATGTATGTATGTACGTACATGCATATATACTTTGACGTAGAAATATATTTTGACTTTACTAAAAATATAACTTATATTAATAACCACGTTATAAAAGAGCGATTTTTTTATTATTTTTTATATGTCATGCAATCAAATTACTTATTTCGGAGAGAAAAATATAATCTCAAAATATGTGCGTCACCTTACCTGCCTACGGTTCTAATAGAGAGCCTCTTATCTTAACAAATATTGTCCTGTTTGTATAGTCGCCTAATTCGGCTGCTACGTGAGATGGTGTATTATTTTTTGTCTGAGTTATAATATGATTGTGGCCTATTTATGGTGGTCGCAAGTAAAATATATATTTATAAAAGTATGTGCAGGATAATATTAATCTTACTACTATATAAATGCGAAAACAACTGCCTCGGTGGTGTAGTGGCTAGCATGTACGGTTGCACACCCGGAGGTCCTGGGTTCGAGTCCCGGGTCGGGCCAGTTTAGTTATTGAGTCTTTCTGCATAGTAAGCCTCAGTAACAGCCTGGAGTTTGGAAGTTGACGGTGTTTCACCCCCGTGCCTCGGAGAGCACGTAAAGCCGTCGGTCCTGCGCCTGAACTCTCACTGGTCGTGTCGAGTGGTCATCCCACCAGAGTATAAGAGTGACAGGTATAGAGAGTGCACTTGTGTCTGCGCGTACACTTGTGCACTATAATATCTCCTGCGCAGTTGGCTAGTTTCAATGAGATTGGCCGCCGTGGCCGGAATCAGTCAGGAGAACATCATCATAAATGCGAAAGTTTGGATGGATGTACATTTCTTACTCAATCAGGGCAGAACGGCTGAACGGATCTAGATGAAATTTGGCACAGTGATTAGAGTCTGGAATCTGCAAAATGTGCCGTTCCCGTTGGATAGATTTGTTTTTGTTTTTCACTAGGAACGAACAGCGAACCCGCGCGAAGCAAGGTTGAGCATTTAGTTTATCATATTTTTAACATTAGGTACTATGGAAGTAAATCTATCAACTAGCTATTTTCAATCGGTGTTTCTGTCTTCTAATAAATATATATAATAGTCATCCTTTGTACACATGGTATCTGTTTTCACTTGTATGTTTTTTTTCTGGTACATAAATAAATAACATAAAATAAATTTCAAATAACGTTATAGGTAAAGTAATACTATATCAGAAATAGTTTTATTCCGAGTTAACGCACAATATCTCCATTTGGCTCTTATACTTAGAGGTTAAAAAAGTGTCAATACTACGTTAAGTAAATCCACTCATTCCTCCTCAGTCGATCTGAGGCAGAAGCACTAATATTATATTAGTTTTTATGTATATCAAAGGTTGAATGCTTACATCATATTTCATACGAAATACTGTACATGGTCATTGGTCGCACAATAAATGAGAAAAATTAAATGAGAAGACACACGTTTCTAAAATGCTTCATTTAACAATGCTCATGGGTACTGGGCATACATTTTTTTAATGTGCTACAGGCTTGTTGAGCCTATTGGCGAGTTACAGCAAAATAGATAACGAAAAAATATTCTCCAGGTTTAAGTACTCATTTGTACCAATTTTCTTGGCTATCGCTTAAGCGATGTAGTTGTTGAACTGCATTACCATAGCATAGTGTGTCATTAAAGCAATCAGTCCAAAAATCTATATTTTGATTTACATAGATAACTTCTAACTTCTTTTAGATACAATACTAAAATGTTTTAACGTGAGTTTTAGGTTTACATTAAAGCATTTTGGTTCAGTAAGCGCAATATTATTAGAACTTTTGAACTCGTATAACAAAAACCGTTACCCACTCTCATGACTTATTGATATTAAACGATGCTTATCCAGCTTTATGATATCCTAGGTCGGAACTAAAATAAACATTGGATGCTATGATCTTCATATGAACATTTTATTTGCGAACCAAACAAATACATAAGGTACGGAATAGGCGAGCCTCAAACGTTATTGGAATCTATCTATACAGTCTATCTTAAGTCACAAAGACGCTCAAAGATTTTGTAGAAAATAGATGGTTCATGGTTACTTTTACAACTACAAAAATAATTGTTATATAATACTAGCATTGCCCGCGGCTTCGCCAGCGTTCAGATGACCAAAAACCAAATTCTTAGGTTTTACATATTAGTATATTCTTACATTGCAGTTTTTCTATTTTTTCTTAAAAATGAGATATTTTTCGGCGGTAAAAAGTATTCTATATGTTGACCCGGATAACCAGCTACCACTATACCAAATTTCATCAAAATCCCTCCAGTGGTTTTCCCGTGATGCGGTAACAGACATACATTTAGACAGGCAGACAGACAGACAGACAGACAAAAATTCTAATAAAAACTTTTTAACAAAAAAATAAAAACCGACTTCAAACAAACGCACTAAAAAGTAAAAAATAACTGATTGGTAGTTTTCATTTACTATACATACCTAATCAAATATTTTCGAAGTCGGTGTGCTTTGCTTTTTATGGGCTGGCACCGATTTCAAAAATATTTGATTAAGTATGTATTTAATAGGTAGGCTTTAATTACTTAGCCAAAGCACACCGACTTCCATTTCATTTGTTTAGTGCAATTGCAAGCTTAGACTTGTTTAGCTGTATTTATGAGTAAATGTTGAATTAATGTATAAGCAGGTTCTCAGTTTAAATAGAGTGCATATATTAGAGTACAAACCGTTCATGCAAATTTTATTGCTATTTGAAAGCTAAAAGCAATGTCGATGGAAACCATGATGGCACAAATTTCCTAAGAGTCTAGACGAATGCGGCAAATTGATATTTTAAGATTGTCCTTTAGACATAACTAAAGAACGTGGATAGACGAGTACATATTGCCCAAAACAAACGAAAGTATACGTGACATACTTAAGAGTAATTAGGTATACAGTTTCAATGGAAACGTTAGAAAGTTATCTTTAAATTCAATTATAACTGAGTATTAGGTGTTTTAATCATAATAATTATTTTCGACAACGATTTCTGGATTTTGGATGGTTTGTATGGTAAATTTTCTTTTGAAATTTTATTGTAGGTACCATATTATTATTT